GCCCGGGGGGGGGGGGGGGTGGCGAGTGGGGAACATATATTTATATAAGTGCATGCAATTGTTCTGATGCAACTTTTTGATTTGACCGGGTAGTGTATTTTATTTCTTTAATGGGCAGGACATGGATTACAAATAACTTGCAGTCCCAGCCAGTAGTTCACTATAGCAGCCACCAGAGGGCGGTATTTTCTCTCCCAGCACGAGACAGGTGAACAGAGTGATGCATCTTGGTCCGAGTAGTCCCTTCTGTCTTAAAAGAAAAATGTACTACAAACTCAATCATGTGACACCCAACCAGCAGTGACAGGGGAAGAGGTTTGCTTTGTGTGTCTGTTGGCTCACTTCGTGACAAGATATGCGGAACTTGTGCGTCTTCAGCAGCATGTCACTGTTGCAGCTTCCTATTTACTGAAACAAGTTAACATCGAGACAATACAGCGCTGCAGGGAGTGACAGTGAATGTTTGAGCTGTGAGGTGAGCAGCCAGCAGCTACAAGACAAGTTAGAATGAACGCAACTAAGTGCAAGAGCTGACACCAAATTGGCGTATACAGACTACAAACTATGAAGTTATCACAACACTCTTGTTGGTCAGTGTTTATATGACGTAGCAGTGACTGCTTTTTATACGCCCGTTTTATATGGTTTTACTTTTTACGTTATTTACGCGTTTAAAATGAAGTTTAACGGTTTTCTGAAGCTCCGGATCGGTGAGGCGGTGAACCTGAAGCCGACGACCTTCTCCCTCCGCCACAGTGTTATTTTCAACAAAAGCGCTCCAGCTCTGGACCCTTACATCGTGGTGAAGGTGGACGAGTACAAAATTGGACAAACGCACACGAAACAGAAAACCAACAATCCGACTTACAACGAGGAGTTCTGCCTCAACGTGAACAACGGGAAACAAATCGAGCTGGCAGTTTTCCACGACACCCCGATCGGGTACGATGACTTTGTGGCCAACTGCACCATCCAGTTTGAGGACCTTATCAAAACCTCCAACACCGGAGAGGCGTTCGAGGGATGGGTGAGTAGAAAGTAAACATACCAAGAGCAGAGAAACTGTTATGTCAGCGTGTTTTCCAGCCTTGGTGGGCCCAAGTCCCCACTCCATCTCTGCAGACACTACCAACAGTGACCATGTGCCCAGAAATTGATCTGTGTTGATCAGCAACAGAGCTTACTGACATCAGGAAAAACTAAAGATCAGTTGACATATATTAGACTTGTGTTTTGGGGGCCCTGCACACTTGCCCACTTTGCCCATTGTTCAGCCTTGACTGTTTAGAAGCCACAGGCTCATGGATTAGTTACCAGACTAGACACAGGCTCAGGGGCCAAAAGGGGTCAGGGGCCTGAAGACCAGAGCCTCAAGATCAAGTGGCAGTTATTCATATCTGTTATTAGAGTGGGGCTCGTGTTTTTAATCCTGAAGCACTTCATATTGAATTTCTGCAGACATAAAATCCACTGATATTTATTTGTTTCTATTTTTATTGTTCCATGCTAGGCTAGGTGGGAGGAGGGGCTCACTGTCTCAAAAATCTATCAGAAGGTCACCATTTTAGTCAGTCAAGCTTTGTTTATATAGCACCTTTCATACAGGGTCACGCCATTCAATGTGCCTTACATAAATGATAGTAAGGTGGAATAAGGCAATTAGGTAAAAATTAATAATAAAAACTACATTAAATGTAAAAATAAAACCCAGTGAAATGGAATTAAAATAAAGACTAGATAAACAGGATCTAATGACAAATATATCACAGAATAATAATGATATTACAGAATAAATTATGATGCTAAAATGTTATAATCAGAAGCCAAATCAAAGAGGTAGGTTTTTAATTGATGTTTTAAAAATATCCACCCTTTCAGCTGCTCCCAGAGCTTCAGACCGACGGTTCCAGTTGTTTAAGGCATAAAAACTAAAAGCTGCCTCACCAAAGGTTTTTGTCTTGTACATTGGAACAATGCCAGAAGATCTATGAGGCTGTCCTGGTTCATACATTGGAAACATATCAGATAAGTGAGCGTGTGCAAGACCACGAGGTGCTTTAAAACATCTGAAATGAACATGGACACTGGCAGACAGCCAAGGTAATGACTTTAAAACTGGTGTAATGTGCTCAATCCTTCCATTCCTGGTCTTCAGAAGAACACAAATAATCATCAAACAGTATCATTTATACCTCATAGGTCAGCCACTTAAACTTACCATAAACCTGTATTTACCGTGACACGTGCTTTTTAGAGCAGGTTCGGGAAGGAAAACATGCTATTAAGCTCAGGGCATGTGTTCACTACACATGCCTGTTTCTCTGGCTGAAAACATCAACGCTGCCTCTTCTGCACTGTACCCGCCACACCTGCTCTCTGAGAGGACATTGAACATTGTCACATATTTACACATTCATATCTGAATGTGGGCAGTGTGCACTGGACAGGAACCTCTCATGTCTTATTGTCTTAGAAGCTTTTTGCTGAAACCACACACACACACCACTCTCTGCGAGGTGTTAATTCTGCTTATGATGACTTGTTACACCACGATGCAGGGTGTTCAAACAAACTCTCAGGCCTGCGCAGCATTTGACCTGTCTGCACAAACAAATGAATGCTGATAAAAAAATTAAAAAAAACCCATACCTCTCTCTCCTTCCACAAGTTGCTGTGCTTGCATAGTTAAACATACTTTGATTGAGGTGTAAAGGAACAGTGTTTTTAAACTTCAGTGCTTGCATATGCACACTTGATAATTTGAGGAGAAGTGGATCTCATCAAAGCTTAGAAACCTAAATGCCTCATGTCTCTTCCAGACAAACAAAAACTGCCTGCTCAAACTGAGGCTTCTTTCTTTTGGCTTCCTTTCATCCCTTTAGGACTATAAGCCACTGCAGGTGTTGCTGAGTGTAACCTGAACCTGTCTATGCCTGGAGCAGGCTGAATTGCTAATGACTGTGTACCACAACTAAAGACGTATTCTCAAGCAAAACACATTTTTGGTCAACACTTTGTAAAGAAATGGATTTGATTACAATTGCTACGGTTTAATCAAAGCAACATGGAGTGAATTGATACATTTTCTGTAGGAGAGAGAAATGCATATAAATTTGTGAGAAAAGTCGATGTATTTTTGAGCCTGATCAATGCCAAATCCATGGAGAAAAGGTATAACAAAAAAAATAATGTGGTTGCTTTGTGCAAACCTTCACCAAGACCCCCAAACACAGAAGGGAAATGGTATGAAAGTGGCGCTTGGCCTGTAGTTTTAGAAGAAGAAATTGGTTAGTACAGATGGCTTTCTCACTTCAAGACACAGATGTAGAGTTGTTATCCACTTGATCTGAATTGTGAAAGCTTTTTGTACTTTGTCGCACAGAAGAAGCGCTGGGCTGCTTTGTTTCACATGTTTGACACAAGCCTCCACACGCCCACACTGCTGTGTATCGTCTCTTTCCCACCTTCTGATCAGCTTGCCACTAAAATGTTCACTTATCTTTGGCTCATATTCAAATGCTTTAATTCCTTTCTTACCCTTTTCACTCCTTTCTGTGCACAGTCCAGTGTGATGCACTTAAACCCCACAAAATGCTGAAGCTCTTTGCTGCTATTTAATGGCCAATAAGCTGCTTTTCAGCAGAAACTTATGACTCAACACCTTCTGTAACTTATGTCAGGACTAACATCATCTGTCTGAGACATTTGCCATATGACATTTAGACATGCAAGGCAAGTTCCTTTTCCTCCCACCTGTTGATATTACATAACACTACATTATGACATCCTTGACTTTTAACTCTACTTTGAGCTCCTTTTATTTCACATTTATGCTGACCATAATCAGCCTTCAGCTAATAAGGTTCTTCTGAGAAGCACTATAACTGAAAAAGGGTTGCATATGGCTCCTTAACATTGTCTACTCTTGACTGAAACCGGTCTCATCACTATTTCTAAAAAGAAAAAAAATCTTCTTCCACTATGACACAGCTTTTGGTGTTCTGCTTTTTAACTGTAGTGTCATGCTTTTACACCTATTTTAGACTAGATCAGTTCCACCTTAAAGACTAGATCAGCAGTTTTTCAAGTCCTATTTTTTACATTGAAAGACTTAGCGGGCGTTCAGACTGACTCTGAACTCCCTGGTATATCTG